TGTTGTTAATTGCCATCAAGTCGGTTCTGACCCATAGCAATCCTATATAGGGTTTCTGAGGATTGGCTAATGAGCTTGAACCACTGACCTTGATAGATAGATAGATAGATAGATAGATAGATAGATAGATAGATAGAAGATAGACAGACATATATGTGCATGCAAAAGCTGGCCAGTGAATAAGGAAGATCATAGAAGAATTGATGCTTTTGAGTTATGGTATTGGAGGAGAATATTGAAAGTGCCATAGGCTGCCAAAAGAACCAAAGATCTGGTTTGGAAGAAGTGCAGTCAGAGTACTTCTTGGAGCCCAAGATGGCCAAACTTCCTCTCTCATACTTCAGACATATTGTCAGGAGGGACCAGTTACTGGAGAAAGATATCATGTTTGGTAAGGTCAGAGAGAAAGTGGAAAACCCCCCAACAAGATGGATTGGCCAAGTGGCAGCATCGATGAACTCAAGTGTGGCAACAGTAGTGAGGTTGGTCCAGGATCAAGCAGTGTTTGTTCTTCTGTGCACTAGGTCACTATGGGTTGGAACTGACTTGATGGCACCTATTCTGACGCACATAGGGTCTAACAACAATAACAATATATATACATATATACACAGATACAGATATTTATATATATATATATATTTTTTTTTTGTCTGCTTTAATGTTTTTGTGTAAAACAAAGCACTCTTAGAAATCAAACATGGAAAAAATGCAACAAACTCAAACTTGTGAAATCATGACAAATTTGAAATAGAAGTCAATTTAATCCACAACCATTTTTAGTGTGCTATTTATTCTTACCTACTATCACTTGTCTCTAGTAAAGTGTTTTTTTGTAATTTTTGAAAGCCTCAAATTAAACAAAATAATAATAATAATCAACTCCCTAAAATCAGTTGTGAAACTATGACCAAATAGAAGTCACATGTTTGTCATGTTAACAAAGAAAATGGTTTTACTTAAGCTGCTGACATCTCTATCAGTGGCAACCTTAAGGAGACCATTATTTTTTTATTATAGGATACACATTAGTGGGGGATATAAGTTTCTTATGGTAATTGTTACTCCAGGATCATCTGTGCTATTGTCACTAGCCACCCTCATCTGTCATGTTGTTGTTGTTGTTATTAGGTACCATCGAGTTTGTACCAATTCATAGTGACCTTGTGCACAGAAGAATGAAACACTGCCTGATGGGCCAATATCACTATTGTTACCACATTTGAGCCCATTGATACTCCTACTTTGCTAATCCATCTCACTGGGGGTCTTCCTCTTTTTCTCTGACCCTCCACTTTACCAAAAATTATATCCTTCTCCAGTGACTGGTCCTTCCTGACAATATGTCTAAAGTATGAGAGACGAAGTTTGGCCATCCTGGCTTCCAAGGAGCACTCTGGCTGCACTTCTTCCAAAACGAATCTGTTAGTTCTTTTGGAAGTCCATGGTACTTTCAATATTCTCCTCCAACACCATAACTCAAAAGCATCAACTCTTCTATGGTCTTCCTTATTCACTGTCCAGCTTTCACATGTGTATGAGGTTATTGAAAATACCATGGCTTAGGCCAGACACACCTCAGTCTTCAAGCTGACATCTTTGCTCTTCTACACTTTAAAAAGGTCTTGTGCAGCAGATTTTACCTAATGCAATATGTAATTTGATTTCTTGACTGCTGCTTCCATGAAGGTTGATAGCTGATCCAAGAATGAAGTCTTTGACAACTTTAATCTTTTCTCTGTTGATAAGAATGTTTTTATTGGTACAGTGGTGAGGATTTTTGTTTTCTTTACATTTAGATGCAATCTATACCAAAGGCAGTGCTCT